TATACATAAAAATAACTAAATTTTTTTTTGTTTTTTTTTGAGACAGGGTCCCCTTGCAGCCCTAGCTGGCCTGGAACTCACTATGTAGACCAGGCTGTCCTTGAACACACAGAGATCTACCTGCCTCTGCCTCCCCAGTGCTGGGATTTAAAGACATGTGCCACAAGCCCACCCAGCTGCATTTTAGGGTTCTTTTTTCTCCTTTTTTTTAAAAAATATTTTATTACTTTTATTTTATGTATATGAGTGTATTGCCTGCATGTATGTGAGTGCACCCGTGTCGTGCAATGCCTCAGAGGTCAGAAGAAGGCTTCGGATTCCCCTGGAACTGGAGTTAAGGATGGTTTGTCGCAGCCATGTGGGTGCTGGGAATCGAACCCAGGTCCTCTGCAAGAGCAGTCAGTGCTCTTAACCACTAAGCCATCTCTCTAGCCCCTTCTTTTTCCTCCTTTTTTTGAGACAGGGTCTCTCAGTAGCCCCAGCTGGCCTGAAACTCACTTTGTAGACAAGGCTGGCCTTGAGCTCATAGAGATTCGCCTGTCTCTACCTCTCAAGTGCAGGGACCAAAGGTGTGCACCACCACGCCAAGCCACACTTTAGGTTTTTAAAAAAAGATTTATTTTAAGCTGGGTGTGGTGGCACATGCCTATAGTCCCAGCACTTGGGAGGCAGAGGCAGGCAGATCTCTGTGAGACTGAGGTCAAGCTGGTCTACATAGAGAGTTCCAGGCCAGCTGGGGCTACTGAGAGACCCTGTCTCAAAAAGACCAAAAAAAAAAAAAAAAAAAAAAAAAAAAAAAAAGATTTATTTTAAGCTGGGTATAGTGGCCCACACCTTTAATCTCTACACTTGGGAGGCAGAGGCAGGCAGATCTCTGTGAGACTGAGGTCAAGCTGGTCTACATAGAGAGTTCCAGGCCAGCTGGGCCTACAGGGAGAACCTGTCTCAAAACAAAAATAATTTTAAAAAATTTTTTATTTATTTTAAAATATTTTATTATTTTTATTTTATGGGTATTGTCTGCATGTAGGTAAGTGTACCCAGTGTCATGCAGTATCCTCAGATGACAGAAGACGCTGTTGGATCCCCTGGAACTGGAATTATGGATAGTTGTTAGCTGCCACGTTGGTGCTGGGATTTGAACCTTGGTCTTCTGCAAGAACAGTCAGTGTTCTTAACCACTGAGCCATCTCTCCAGCCCCCCCCCCAAAAAAAATCCTTTAAAAAATATTTATTATTTATTTAAATTGGGAGGAGAGTGTTGAGACAGGGTCTATGTAGCAGCCCTGGCTGGCTTTGAACTCCAGTGATCTGCCTGGCTTTTCCTTCTGGACCATGCCTGGCCCTATTTACTTTTAATTATGTGCGCGTGTGTGTGTGTGTGTGTGTGTGTGTACAAGAGTGCAAGTGCCCAATGGAGGTAGAGGTATCAAATCTCCTTGGAGCTGTTGTTACAGGCAGTTGTGAACCACCCAACATGAGTACTGAGAGCTGAACTTGAGTCCTCTGCAAGTATAGTATGCACTTCAAAATTATTTAATCTGTGTTTTGCCTGCATGTTAAGGGGACCACATGCTTGCAATACTCATGGGGGCCAGAAGATGGTGTCAGATCCTATGGAACTAGAGTAACAGATGGTTGTTAGCTGCCATGTGGGTGCTGGGAACCAAACCTGGGTGCAAAAGTAGTCAGTGTTCCCAACCACTGAACCATCTGTCCAGTCCCAGTGCTTTAATTTTTGATATAATCGGAATGAATGACCTATTTGCAGCCTCAAGGATGTTTTACCACCAAGGAATTTTGATAGATAACACAGCCACCAAGATACAGTTACAGTTTCCTTGGTTACTTGGTTACTTTTCTTGGGTAGGAATGTGAGACAGTCTCATGTGGTCTTGAACTTACTATGTAGCCAAGGCTGGCCTTGACTGGGATTCCAGGTGTGCACCTCCATACTCAGTGACCTCATATCCAACTCCTTGCCTTCCAGAATTCAACTCTTCTGGCCTGTTCCCCATTACTTTATGCTGTCCATCCCATTTCAGCTCAGTATGAGTAACCACCAACTTAGAACTGTTTGATGTATTTAGAGTCTCACTATATACAGAGCAGGCTGACCTTGAACATATGATTGATCCTGTTGCCTTGACTTCCTGGGTGCTTAGCTTGTGTATGCCATCACACTGGATTAGAAATTCAATTTCTCAAAATTTGAAAAACATACCTTTGTAGCCGGGCGTGGTGGCACATGCGTTTAATTCCAGCACTTGGGAGGCAGAGACAGGCAGCTCTCTGAGTTCAAGGCCAGCCTGGTCTACATAGCAAGTTCCAGGACAGATGGGGCTACAGGGAGACCCTGTCTCAAAAAGACCAAAAAAAAAAAAAAAAAAAAAAAAAACCAAAACCAAAACCAAAACCAAAAAAAAACCACCACACACACACAAAAACATACCTTTGTGTATTTGAGTGTTCTGGCTGCATGTATGTGTGTAGCACGTATGAAGTACCCACAGAGGCCAGAAGCAGCCAGAAAAGGGCATCAGATTTCCCTGGAACTGGAGTTAAGGACAGCCGTTAGCCACCATGAGGGTGCTAGGAACTGAACCCATGTTCTCTGCAAGATCAGTCAGTGCTCTTAGTGCCATCTCTGCAGCCCCAATTTATTTTTAATTTTATTATTTTTATTTTATGTGTATGTGTATTGCCTGCATGTAGGTAAGTGCACCCATGTTGTGCAATGCCTGAGGACAGAAGAGGCTGTTGGATCCCCTGGAACTGGAGTTACAGACAGTTGTTAGCTGCCACGTGGGTGCTGGGATTCGAACCCAGGTCTTCTGCAAGAACAACCAGTGCTCTTAACCGCTGAGCCATCTTCTCCAGCCCTACAGGGTCTCCCTGTAGGCCCAGCTGTCCTGGAACTCGCTATGTAGACCAGGCTGGCCTTGAACTCACAGAGATCTGCCTGCCTCTGCCTCCCAAGTGCTGGGATTAAAGGCGTGCGCCACCATGCCCAGCTCCAACCCTATTTTTAATTTTTGAAAAATCTATTATTATTTTTTTTTAATCTTTTTGAGACAGGGTCTCCCTGTAGCCCCGGTTGTCCTGGAACTATGTAGACCAGGCTGGTCTTGAACTCAGAGATCCGCCTGCCTCTGCCTCCCAAGTGCTGGGATTAAAGGTGTGCCACCATGTCCAGCAAAAATCTATCCTTAATGTATGTTTTGCCTGCATGTATGAATGTACCACATGGTGCATTCAATGCCCACTGAGGTCAGAAGAGGGTGTATCCACTGGAACTGGAGTTATAGATGGTCATGTGGGTGCTGGGAACTGAACCCAGGTCCTCTCCAAGAGCAGCCAGTGCTCTTAACTGCTGAGCCATCTCTCCAGCCCCAATTTCTGATTTTTTAAATGATAATGTGTTCCCAAGAAAGCTTCATTTTCACCCTTTTACAAAGGTTCTTATGGCCTCTATAGGGTTCACTCTAACTTTAGTCCTATTTTGTTAACACTTCCCAGGTCTAGGTTAGAATTAACAGTGGCTCCCACAGCTAACAACAGCCTTGTCTAATGAAGCTCTTGGAGTTTCTGCAACTGTCTGACCCCTTTCTCTTTCTACCTGTGAAACAGCTTAACTTTGCCTGTTTCTGTATTCAGATGCTCTTGGCAGGCTCATGCAAGGACTAGTTAGGTTAATACAGATCTGAAGATTCAACATTTATATGCAGTGCTCAGCTTTGCATATGACCTCTTTGGGGCTTTAACATAGGAGTCACCTGTGTTTTCCATGTTACACCTGTAGGGTCTCAACATTTGCTTGTGTGTCCTGTATAAATGTTGGAGCACCCCTAGGCTATCAGAGGGCCTCTTCTAAGGATTGAGCCACCCATTCCCGTGCTATGATTGTTAACACATAAGTGTGTTTAGTGCTTTTTCTTATCATACATTCAAATTCTCACCATAAAATATCCTAAAATTTACATATGGAAATACAACAGACATTCTCAAATATTCTTGATGGTCCTATTTTTATTTCACGGCTCCCTGTAAGGCCCACCTGGCCTGGAACTATATAGACCAGGCTGACCTCACTCAGAATTACTTGCCTCTGGGATTAAAGGCATGAACTCATGCCTATTTCAGGATTTAACTAGAATCACCTGCCAGAGATATGCTAGTCTAGTATGCCCTCGGTTTTACCCCAGGTACCACGGGGCAACTCAACCCCTAAAAACAGGCTGAATGAGGGATGTTGAATCCTAATGTTACAAGGGCTCTCAATTCCAGGACTTCAAGATACTAGGGGTAGCCCTGGAAATCATTTGGTATTAAGACTACCTATTACTGCCACTGTGGCCTTTCAAGGCCTATCAAAATGCAGATTTGGGGGCTGGCGATGATTTTTAAAATTTTGATTCAGATTATGCTTTTGTTTCCTAGCACCCACATGGTGGCTAACATAGGCAATACATCCATTCACACAAGAATATTTAATAAAAAGGCAGATTCAAGCAGGTAAATGAACCTAGCAGGCATGGAGGTGTGTGGCTAGCCATCGCTAGTGCAGGGAATTCACAGGACAGAACTGCTGTGCTGGAAGTTAAGGGCACTGCCCAATGCAAAACCCACGTTAAGGATGCACACAGAATAAAGAGCTCATAGAACCCTTTGAACATGATCAACTTTGGGCAATCGAATATGCTAAAGGGATCAGGGTAAACAGGTATAAGCATTCGAAGTGAAGGGCTTTTAATCCAGCAATTGGAAGGTAGACTTGAGTTTCAGGTCAGCTGGGGCTACAGGAAAAGCCTATCTCAAAGACAAAAAAAAGAATTTGATGCCAGTCTAGCCTATGGACCTAAATTTGATCCCCAAGATCCAGATTACAGAAGGGGACCAACTCCAATTTGTGCTGACCCCCAGGCCCACACCCACAAAATAAATGTAAATAACAGATTACCCAATAGCAGTCATCCCTCCAAATGTATGAATTACACACATTAAAAGTTAAAGAACTGCTTTATTAGGAAAATGATCACAATCCTGAATGGCTAAGTTTCCAAGATCTGAAATGTCTTTTGAAGACTTGGGACTCTTGTAAAAGTAGAGTTCTTAGGGAAAGCACACATATGTAACACAAGGGTCACTACACTTTTAAAGTAGCATTAATGACCTGTTTCAATTTTTTGAGACAGGATCGTCCCGTAATCCCAGCCGGCTTTGATCTCAGATCTGCCTGCCTCTGCTGGGACAGGCACCACCACACCCAACTCATGAGCCTTGAGATAGCATTCTTCTTTCCTCAGACCTGGAAAAAAAGGCCACTTATGTTTTAACAAGTGATGACATTCTTTCCTTTCCCATGTAAGTTTTCATCCCTCAGACAGTTCCTTCTGGAACAAATTTTCCTCTTTTCTCCCAGCCAGCCCCAGTGGGTTCACCTTTTCAGGCTCTGGGGCTAGGACAGGAAGTAAGACACGTGACTATTTCTTCATAGGGAAATGAATTACGTCTCATCCCACCTCACATATTTTCTTACCTTATCTCAGTCTGAGGTGAGTCATGATATGGCATAAGATCAGGAATCAGGACTTATCCCTACAAGGAAACCATAGTTGTATAAAACTTTAATCTGAAGGCATTCATAAAAATCACTTGCTAGTCTGAAGATTTTCAGTTAGAACTTAAGAGACTCAAAGTAAGCTCACAACTCAGAAAATACCTTTCGTCAGTTATCAGACTGGGGCGGTATTCAACTCATCACTGGTGAGCAATAAAATTCACTGGTGGTCCGAAGGCCAGTCACCTGGACCAAAGCAGTACCACACTTCTAACAGATCATCAAAGACATTTACCTTGTGTCACCTCGATTCTAGGGAAGACACTAGACCTGAAACAAAGACCGTCATCAGTGCTTACATCCTCCATTAAGCTGTTCCCATTTTATCCCATCATTCCTAGTGGTGAAGTCAGATTTCCATGTCTCAACAGCAATCATCAGCCGAACGAGATTCTATGAAAGTCATCATATGTACATATAAAGGGCCATCTAATATGCTACATGCACTCAACACATCTGGCTATACTCACCTGAGCCAACAAGCATGGTACTGGTGGTAACACCTGAGGAAAGAGTAAACCGCTGAGCAGAAGGCTCCACATATAACTGCAACCCTGACTCCACTTCAGTTTCTCAGGTGTTCGTATATTTTCATTATCATTATCATAGTGAGCTAGTTAGACTCATCATAGAAACTGCCTGCACTTGATGACAAACCTCACATACAATAATCAACCAACCTCTGAATGCTGGAGGACTCCTATGGTTATCTTGAACAAACGCCTCCTAAATCAGGAAAGTCAATTAGCAAAGTATCTAAAGTAGTAAAAACTATCCTATTACTGTTAATAGATAGGCCATAACAAACCACCTATAGGCACTTCCAGTTCATAATGAAATCCCTACTTCCTCTCCCAGTTACCCCAGTGGATTCACCAGTACTTGCTTTAGTGCTGGAAAGGGTAATAGTGGTACAGATGTGTAGCCCTTACTGGAACTCAATTCTGGCAATATACAGCTGGTTAAGTACTCACCTCTTTAATCCTCTTCAAAAGTTTGATCCTGGAAATCTGTACCCAAACATCTAGAAGGAGCCATGAATAAAACAGACAAAAGAGAAGTCAGAAAGCTATGGCTCAATCAGGGCTTTGGTGGCAAATACCAAATCACCCTATAGCACAAGGAAAAGCACCTCACCTTACTTAACAGATAAATCATCACCCCGATAAACCTGGGACGAGAACAAATGATTACTTTCAATTTTCAGGACAAAACTAAATTTCTTAATTACCAATACTGCCATCAGAACTCTAACATGCTATTAATTGTTGTACCTCACAGAGCATCAGTATATGGATTCAAATCATCTGACAGTGATACATTATCAAGAACCAACTGTAAGGGGGGGTTGCCTTCCCCCTTAGAAATGATTAAGTGGAACAGAGCAGCAAAGCCAGCACTGCTTCCCACCCCCATCGGGGAAGATAAAGCCCCAGCAGTCTGTTTGCCCAATTACCTGTTCTCATCTGGGGAGGTCTGAGTTCCTTAGGACTCGTTAGAGGACACTAGAAATAAAAAAGCAAAGCATCACTTTTATGTAAAAACAGCCAGGCAAAGAATTTTGCACTTTGGCCCACTTCTCAGTAGTGAGCTGACATCACTGCAATTCAGCCATATGCTTGTCATTTTATATTCATCATGAAGCGGTCGTACCCCCCCTTTCCCCAAGGGTTTAAGCCATGCCGACCCACCTGCAGTGTAACACTGCAACTCTAAGATGAACCTCAACTCTCTCTCTCCAAACCGCGACTTCCTTTGAAACTAACATCTGGGGAAAAGAAAAGCACTTCACCAAATTTTAAAAAGAAACCACCTAACTCAGCCCCACCATCTGCTGCATAGTACTACTCAGAATTTTTCTGTTCTCTCCACTAATCATTCAGTAAGAGAGAGTTCAATTTTTAAATCATCCCTGTAGCACACCCTACAGGACTCCCACAGCCAACAGAGAAAAAGTCGTTAAGTACTTACTCCAGGGACGGAGCACCACCACCCTTCCATATTCAAACGCGCGCCCCAAACCTGCAAACACGATTCAGAATTAAGAACGGGTATTTCGGAAACACTTTGCTGGAGCAAGAGTTGGAGGCCTCTCCTCAGAGTTAGTCATCCTCACGGAACTCAGTACAGGTCTGTGAAAAAGTCCTCATCACAGGGGAAGGCCCGCTGGCACGGCCGCCACCACCACTTTGACCCTTACAAACCCCTGACGCTTCCGGGCTTCGAAGACCCGAAGCGAGGCCTCCTTGCCCAGGCCACCAGATAGGTTACCCAGGGGCAGGCCTGGAACAAGCCCTGCTCAGGCGGCCTTCTAACAATAAAACTCGAACCCGCCCAAAATAACACCACACACTCACCACGAGCAAGAGAAAATGAGGCCGAAGAACGCAGCGCAAGACGCTTAAATACTCCTTCGCAAAGGCCCACGGGATTCGGGGCGGAGCTAGGATTAGCGCATGCGCATCTCGGAACCGCCCTGCGAGCCGGTGGAATTGTGGGTAGAGGATTCCAAGGACTGCGGTTGTAGAGCGCTCCACCCCCGAATTTGCGGCGCGGAAAAGACGCGCATGCGCTCTAGTGGAGCGCCGCGGCTGCTGTGCGCACTGCGGCTGGGCTGGCACCTTCTAACCGTGGCGGTGAGGCCTTAGGCTTTTCTCCCACGTGGGATTCGCTGGGACTGTCTCGGCCACCTGTGTCCACACCTGTTCTGACCCCCCACACACACACACTTGCGTGTAGATCCTTCGCTATGGATCTCGAGCATTCTGAACCCTCCATCGCCGGCGCCCGGGTCCCCAGCCAGGTGCTCAGCGTTCAGGCGGGGCCTGATGTCCAGGTCGTCAGCGCGGGGGGCGACTCAGGTACAGCTCAGAGCCCCGGGCTGAGCCGGGAGGGAGAGCTCTTGCATGGAATGTTTTGGGGAAAGCCAGGTTTAAATGCCCCGCGTCATTCTGAAGACAAAATTTTTTCCCAAATGGCTATGCTCTGGTCCCTGGTATGGTTTCGCCAGGATGTTGGCCTGAAGGAAGGGCAACTCTAATTTATGGAGCATCCTGCATGTTTTTTTTCTTAGTTTTGGTTAAGCAGTGCCAGGGGTTGAACTCAGGGTTCTGTCATGCTTACCGGCAAGTGCTCTATTACTGCGTCACACATACCCCGGGGCGGGTGCACGTTTTAAGCATCCTATGAGTTAATGCTCCAAAATCCCGAGAGATAGTGACAACGCACCTGAGGGACCTTAGATATAAAGAGCTTCGGGGGAGCTTATTAAAATTCCCCAATCGTCTAGGTCACAATTAGCTACAGACTGGCTATTGACACCAACTAGCAACCTTACGTCACCAGTGATTTGTGGTAAGCCCCAGTGTATGTAAAAGGGCGTTTTAGGTGGCACATGCATTTAATTCCAGCACTCTGTTTTATATAGAGTTCCAGGTCACCAAGGTTACACCTTAAAACCCCGTCTCATCACCTGACCCCCCCCAAAAAAAAAATGCATTGTAAAACAAGATTTACTCTTATTAGATGCTCTTCTACATGACCTCACTTAATAATGACCATTGGAGTGGGAACCTGAGGCCTGGAGAAATTAAGTAACCTGCCGAATATTATCCAGCCAAGTGATGTCAGACCCTGGTATAAATCCAGGCAGCCTGGCTCCAGGTCTAGCTCTTTTTTTTTAAAAGAATAGTTTAGCTGGGCGTGGTGGCGCACACCTTTAATCCCAGCACTCAGGAGGCAGAGGCAGGCAGATCTCTGTTAGTTCAAGGCCAGCCTGATCTACATAGTGAGTTCCAGGACAGCTGGGACTACAGGGAGACCCTGTCTCAAAAAAACCAAAAAAAAAAAAAAAAAAGAATAGTTTAGTACCAGCCTCTGGGAGAGGCAAAGGAAAAGGCTGAAAAGAAAGAAAGAAAAAAAAAGAATGGTTTAGTGAAAGGATGGAGAGATAGCTCAGAGGTAGAATACTACCCTTCCAGAAGACCCAAGTTTGGGTCCCAGGTGCACAATACCTGTAACTTCAGCTCCAGGTGATCCACTGCCTTCTTCAGGCCTCCACAGGCACCTGTAGTTGTGTGCACATATGCACACCAGGCACACACATACACATAATTGAACATAATAAAAAACATCTTTTTATTTTTATTTTATGTGTATTAATGTTATATCTGCATGTATGTAAGTGCACTCCTGTCGTGCACTGCCCAGAGAAGACAGAAGGCATCAGGTCCCCTGGAACTGGAGTTAGAGACAGTTGTTAACTGCCATGTTGTTGCTGGGATTCAAACCTGGGTATTTGCATGAACAGTCAGTGCTCTTAACTGCAGAGCCATCTCTCCAGCCCTAAGAATAAATCTTAAAATCAATAGTGAGTACACTACAAGTGAGTAGTGGGTTGGGCAGAAAGTACAGGACCTGCATCTCAGAACCTGCACTGCTAACCACTAGGCTTACTGGCTGTATATGTAGTTCTGTTCTCAAGATAGTTTGGGGAGCAAACAAATACACAATAAATAATTCTTGTGTATCATTTATCTTCTTAATGTAATGCCACTCAACCTAAAAAGAATAATCTAGTCTTCTCTATGGAAATTTAATACCCCGGTTATACTGTGTACCTTCTGGAGGGCCAGAAACCATTTTTTGTTGGTTTGAGACAAGGTCTCAGAATAAAGTCCAGGCTGGCCTTGGATTCCTAATTGTTTTAACTCTGCTTCCCAGGGCTGGGATTACAGGTTTAGGTATCAGGACTCCTGGCTAGAAACCAAGTTTGTTTGCTTGGCTTTTTTTCTTTTGACTTGGAAGTCACTGACTTTGTCTCTCCAGCTTTTTTCTTTTCTTCTTTTCCATGTAGGCTCTGAGGATCCAACTCAACTCAGGTCCTTATGTATAATTAGCACTCTGCAAACTGAGCCATCTCCCCAGACATAGATAGAAAGCTTTTTTTTTTAATAATATATTTTATTATTTTTATTTTATGTGTATGTGTATGTGTGTATTGCCTGTGTGTAGGTAAGTGCACCCATGCCGTACAATGCCCCGGGAGGTCAGAAGAGGCTGTCGGATCCCCTGGAACTGGAGTTATGGACAGTTGTTAGCTGCCATGTGGGTGCTGGGATTCGAACCTGGGTCTTCTGCAAGAACAGCTAGTGTTCTTAAACTGCTCTCTCCAGCCCACAGAGAGCTTTTTAATAGCTGAGATTTACCACCTCTTGAGAATCAATTTTCACTTTCTTCAGACCAGTTTTGTCCCCTTGCATGCCCTACAGTAACAGTGAGTGACTCTAGGCTGGACATACAGTTGGTAGAGAGCTTGTCTGGTATGCATGAAGTCCGGGATTCTAACCCAGCATCACATAAAACCAGCTGTGGTGGCACATGCCTGATCTCAGCATTTGGGACGTGGAGGCAAGAGGGTCGGTCAACAGTTCAGGGTCATCTTCACCTACATATAAGGACCAGTCTAGTCCCGGCTACATGAGACCCTGTCTCAAAACAACAAATATATCATGACACCTGTATACAAGTACAGAGAATTTGAATTGTTATTATGAAGTTGAACAAATCCATATATTCAATAAATATTAAGTGCTGGATCTATGTATGATACAACATATAGGAAAAGGGATAAGACAATCTGCCGTTGTGGCAGATTTTGGTCTGGTAGAGGGAATTAAGATGCTTATATCAGGGCTGGAGAGATGGCTCAGTGGTTAGGACTGGCTGCTCTGGCAAGGCACCTACATGGCAGATCACAGCCATCAGTAACTCCAGTTCCAGGGGATTCAGTGCCCTCTTCTGGCCTGCATGGGCACTGCAAGCACATGGTGTACTTTACAGACATGCAGGCAAAACATTCAGACACATAAAAACAATAAAAAAACTGGGGGTTGGAGAGATGGCTCAGTGGTTAAGAGCACTGACTGCTCTTGCAGAGGACCTGGGTTTGATTCCCAGCACCCATATGGCGGCTACGTCCTTAACTCCAGTTCCAGGGGAATCCGAAGCCCTCTTCTGACCTCCGCGGCATTGCATGACAACCGGTACACTTGCATACATGCAGGCAATACACTCATACACATAAAATAAAAATAACAAAATATTTAAAAAAAAGAAGCTGGGTGTGGCACAGCACTTGGGAGGCAAAGCAGGCAGATATCTGTGAGTTTGATGCCAGCCTGGTCTATACTGTGAATTCCAGGACCTGCTGGGACTGAAGGGAGATCCTTTCTCAAAAAACAAAACACAAAACAAAAGATTTAAAAAGTGCTTCCTGCTCTTTTCCAGAAGACTGGATCCTGTTCCTTTATTACCAGCACCCATGTCTGACTGCTCACAAATACCTGTAACTTTAGCTCCAGGGGATCCTACACTCTTCTGGACTCCTCAGGCACCTGCACTCACATGCACACACCCACACACAAATGCACATAATTTTAAAAATAAATCTTAGCTGGGCATGGTGGCACAAGCATTTAATCTCAGCACTTAGGAGGCAGAGGCCGGCAGATCTCTGTAAGAGAACTGACTAGTCTACATTTTAGGCCAATGGTGGCTACAGGGAGACCTTGTCTCAAAAAAAAAAAAAAAAAGTTGATGTCAGGAACTGGAGGGCTCTCTTAGTGGTTAAGAGCACTTGCTGCTCTTCCAGAGGACCCATATTCTGTTCCCAGCACCCACATGAGGCAGTTCACAACTGCCTATAACTCTGGCTCCAGGAGATCAGATCCCCTTTTCTGGCCTCTACCCCATTCATTCCAGGTGTGGTCGTACATGTCTTTAATCCCAGCATTCTGGAGGCAGGGGCAGGTGGATTTCTGTGAGACTGAGTCTACAGAGCAAGTTCAATGCCAGCTGGGGCTACAGGGAGACTCTGTCTCAAAAAAAAAAAAAAAAAACCCACCAAAGTAAATATTAAAAAAAAATTTTTGCCAGGTGTGGTGGCGCACACCTTTAATCCCAGCACTTGGGAGGCAGCAGCAGGCAGATCTCTGTGAGTTCAAGGCCAGCCTGGTCTACATAGTGAGTTCCAGGACAGCTGGGGCTCTACAGGGAGACCCTGTCCCAAAAACAAACAAAAAAAATTTTTTAAGGGGCTGAAGAGATGGCAGAGTCAGGCAGATCTCTTTGAGTTTGAGGCCAGCCTGGTCCACATAGTGAGTTCCAAGCCAGCTAGGGCTACATAGTGAGACCCTATCTCAAAAACAAAATGAAACAGGCTGGTGAGATGTCTCAGAATTCAAGTGCTTGTTGTTCTTGCAAAGAACTGGGGTTCAGTTCCCATAAGGTGGCTCACAACAGCCTGTAACTCCAGTTCTGATTCAGTGCCCTCT